CCGCGTACCCGGGCGCGTTCGCGGGGGCGCGAGATATAGGAGACAGCCGTCGTGAATCGGGGGGCGAAAACGTGAAAAATCGATGCCGATCCATTTGTAAGGCGCGCTGAGGTGGGCCTAGCGCCGTATGCGGCGCGCGTCTCTTTCCTGTGATTGCAGCGAGCCGCGGCACCGTGGCAGGCGGCGCCTCGGCCTGAGTCTCGGCTTGTAGCGTAACACGGGCACGGCGCCGCAGTTGGATCATGACGACCGTTGAAGCCGGCGCTCATTCACGGCGCGTTGGCCTTGCCGCCGTCGGCGAGGCCGTCGTTGGCCTGGCCGTTGGCACGCGGTCAAAAAGTGCTCTCGCTGTAAAGTACCATCTCCTCCCCTCCGCATTGCTCCGACTAATAAATAAAGCAAGCCGCTTGCCTGCAAGCCCCCGCTTTTATCTGAAGCCTGTTGTATACGAGGCTTGGCATAATGGATTAAGTGGCTTCGAGCCCTGCAGCCCTAGGAGCCCTTCGAGTACCTCGGCGTTCTTTTCGCGCCAAAGGGAGGCGAAGGGCGACTGGAGGGACGACGGCGCGACGGCACGGCGGCGCCATCAAGCCGCTCGGCGCCGCGGTCGGACTGCCAGTGGCCGCTACTGGGGCCGCGGGGCTCTCCATGGCCCCTCCATGGCCCCTCCATGCCCCTCCAGGGCTCCAGGGCCCCTCGAGGACCTCTCCAGCAGGACATCTCCACTCCAGCGCGGCTGGCTAATGCCCTGTGGCCTGCCCGGCCTGTTGTGGGCTCGACCACGCTCGGCCACGCTCGGCCACGCTCGGCCACGCTCGGCCACGCTCGGCCGGGACGTTTGGCGTGGTCCCGGTGGTGATTCAAGCCGCCCGCGCCGATCGTCTCAGCCGCCCCGTCGGCCGGCCGCTTGGTCGCAGCAGTCGCAGGCCCTGGGGAGCCAGACCCTACAGTGGCGGAGCGCGGGGCCCACCCGGCCCGCCCGTCCTCCAATTCCAGGCGTTCCAGGCACCCAGTGCCGCCCGGATCGCCCACCTTGGCCCGGACCGGCGTGCACCGCCGCACAGCATGGAAAACACCCGCAGGCAGCCCTGGCCGCCCAACCGAGCACGTACCCGTGTTCGAGAGGGCCGCGCCAGCCGCGCCCTGCGACCTTCCGACCTTGCCCGATGGCGCTGGCCGCCCTGGCCGCCTGGCCGCCCTGCCCGCCGCCACCGCAGAGCGCGCGGAGCAGAGGACGCTCGCCAAAAACACGCTGCTGCGCTCGGCGCCTTTGCCAAACGAGGTCTCTCCACCTGACGGGTACTTTCGGCTTACTGCTGCGCACTGCTGCGCTCTCGTTGGCTTTCCGCGCTGCAACTTTGAGTGGGTGGCTGCGGCGGGCGGGGCGGGGCGGGGCGGGGCGGGGCGGGGCGGGGCTTCCGCCATCAGCATATTATTCCGGGGGTACGCCTGGTGCCCCCGGGACGAAGAATTGCAGGGCTGAAGCCTCGGCTGAAGCCCGGGGCTGGCCGCGGCGAGGCGAGGCTGGCTGCCCTGCCGCCGGCCAGCAGCGCCGGCAGCCTCAGCCTTGCCGTAGCATGACAAATTATTTGCATTTAGTATGCGAGGACAAGCACCGCCGCACGCCTCTTGGGCGGCACGCCTCAGCGCTCCGCGGCAGTGGCGGCAGTCCATAACCCCCGCGACGTGCTCTTTTTATACGCGCCTTCCCTTTTTTGTCTCTCAGCGGCGCGGCTGCGCGCGCGTCCCTCTTACGCCGCCCCCTCCCGCCCCGGCCCCTCCTCCGGGGCATTCTGGGAGACAAGTGTCCGCATTTGCTGCGAGGACGGGCACCAGCGGCGGCCCCAGCCCCCGAGGGAGGCGGCGGTGGCGGCGGTGGGGGCGGTGCGGTCGTGGAACCTTTTTCTGTCGGAAGATACATGGCGCGGCGTGTAATCACTGCGAAGCGCTGCGAAGCACTGCCCCCTTATGCAATCTACTCACACGCCGAGGCTGAGCTGGAGTTGGCGCCGCCATGGCGCCGCGATGCAGCGGGGCTGACGGGCCGTGCCCTTGGCAGTGCCTCGGCCGCGCCGCCACGCCGCAAATCCCCCTCTAAGCGGGCCGCGCCCTAACGAGGCAAAGGACCTGAAAGGACCGTCAGCGGAGGGACAGGGAAGGGAGGGGGTCGCAGTCGGGGGAGTGGAAGATAAGGCGGGGGGAGGGAGAGAGAGAGGGAAAAAAAAGGAACCAGTCGAAGGCAAAGACAGACGCTGGCCAAAGGGTTGACGGCGGGCGGCCCCGACTGCAGACTGAGAGGCCAGGCAGCGCCAGGGCATGGCCAGGCAGGGTGAGTCGCACAGTGTCGCAGTGGTGAGTGGGGCGAGTGGCAGTCAAAGGACGCCCGACTCGTGTTGCCGACTGCTTATTTGCACGCGGATCCGGAAACGGGATCGGCGAGGCGCGGCGGCGCGGCTGTGTCAGTCACTTCATCATCCTTATTGTCCTTGGAGGCGAGGACGGCGAGGACGGCGAGGACGGCGAGGGCGGCGAGGACGGCGAGGACGGCGAGGACGGCGGGGACGGCGAGGACGGCGAGGACGGCGAGGACGGCGAGGACGGCGGGGACGGCGAGGGCGGCGAGGACGGCGAGGACGGCGAGGGCGGCGAGGACGGCGAGGACGGCGAGGACGGCGAGGACGGCGAGGACGGCGTGCATGCCGAACGAACGCGGCGCCGGGTCTTCTCCAGTTACCGCGCCGTGCCCGTGGAGGGAGAACTCGAACAGTGCGAGGGGTGCCGGCACGGCGGGACGGACGACCCAAAGCCCGAAGGCAGACACAACTCTCTGTGCGTGTAGAGCTCCGCGCTCCTCGCTTTGGACTGGACTCGCATCAAACACATGGTGGCATCAACAGTCTGGTCGCTCATCGAGCGAGAGGAATCCTTTGGCACGTCACGTGTTTGGTCTGACGAACCCATTTAGAGGCCCGGCGGCTGTCCAGGCGTCCCAGTTTCGCAGAACTAGCGCGGCCATCTGACCGGCGCAGCAACCCCAACAACGCCCAACCCGGAACGTCAATCATGGCAGAGACGTCACGGCGCAAACTCATCGAGCAAACGATGCAAAAGGCTCGATGCAAACACGGCTTGCCCGCTTGGCTTCGTGATTGATGGCGGCCTGCACGGAGGCGCGGCGCACAGTGGATTTACCAGAAGACCGGTGGAGGCGGCCCAAATTGTAGACGCGTTTGGAGCTCCAGGGTCACTGAGCAGGACTGGAACCGAACGTGTTAGTACCCCACCAGGCCACCAATGGATAGTTCATCTCCGAACGGGGAATCCATTGATAGGGCCACGCGTACGGTTCGAGTCCTGTTCAGCGACTCTATAGCTCAAAACGCGTCCGGAGTTCTGGCCGCCCGCGCCGGCCTTCTGGCAAATCCACAGTGTCTGGCGGCGTGCGCGAGGAGCAGACGGTGCGCGGCCTCGGCGGCTCGGCCGAGCCTTGGCGAGCAAGGAGGGAAATTCCACATTCATCGCAGCGCCCATTACCCGCACGTATTCAAGTCTTGCCGGGTATTTATCATGGCTCAGCTGGGGCGGCCGGGCTGTGGGGCTGGGGCACTACCCCTTCGGCGCGGTCCTGGCGCGGTCCTGGCGCGGCGTGCGGCTTGCCGGCCACCTCCCGGGATGTGTCAGTGCCTAAGTTACGGACGGGGGACCACACACTCTACCCCGCCCCGCCCCGCCCCCCACGGGGCCGCGCGAACCACAGCCACAGCGCCCGATAGGCTGGCCTTATAAATAAATGGCGTGTAATGGCGGGGAACACAGAAACACGGCCAGCTTGTTCTCCCGGAGCAGTGTGTGTGTGTGTGTGTGAGCTGTGTTGTGTTTCTCAAGGCCCCCCGGCCACATATGTCTGGCCGGGCTAATATCGAGCACCCCGGATCCACGGTGGAGCCACGGCGGCTGCGGTCGGGTCGGGGCAGACAACCCAACCCGGCCCTGCCAAGCACGCCGCGCCACGCCTCGCTGCGGCACCCGCCTTCTTTTATTTTTGGCCACCGCCTTTTCTTCTCGGCCGTCTCCGTCGTCCCCGTCTCCGGCCATCGCGGGGCACTCGAGGCGCCGTGCCGCCGTGCCGCCGCCGTGCCGCCATCGGCCTTCCGTCCCGTCCGTCCGATGTTGCAGTGCCGAGAGCAGAAGGAGACGTTTTATGCGCCCCGCACCGCGATGGTAAATCCGGATGCGAAAAAGCAGGGAGGGGCGCGGCGCAGCCCGCCTCCCCGGGGACGGCGATGGGCCCTTTGGGGGAGCGAGCGAGGAGCCCGGGGCTGCCGATGGCGTCGGAGGGGGCGGGGGCGCCGGGGAGAGTGGGAAGGAGCCCCCGGGCTGCACCGCGGAGCGTCGAGGCTGACGGGGTAAGTGCAGCCTTGTGCGCAGCGTGCAGCGCGGGGCGGCATTCATCCCGCCCGGCCTCTCATGTGAGGATCCCAGCGGCTGTTCGGTGGAGCAGCCACCACTTTCAAGAGTAGTATTTTTCGGAAAGTGAGGAGACGATTCGTGGAAAATCAGCGCAGGAGTATCGAACCCAACCTTGGAGAAGGACGAATTACATGGAATAGCTACGCCATGGGCGACACCACGCGTCGAGAAGACGTTAGGGAGAAAGAAAGTGGCTAGGTCGTTGTACGGTCAAAATCACTTTGTCATCGGCATTTATGGCCAAGAAGATCGGGAACCATGTCTGCCTCTCTCTCTCGAGCATTTTCTCTACACACGGTGTCACCGCTATTTATGCCCGTTTTGCTACGTTCCCGGTCGGTAGATTAGTAGTCGGTGGGAGGGAGCGCCGCACGCTTAGGCAACCCCTCCGACCCGCCGAGCTCCTAGTGTAGTCGCGCCGGCCCGGCAGTAGTAACGTTCTTCGCCACCGGCCGTCCGAGCGCTAGTGGGCACGGGGCGGGGGCGGAGCGAGCGAGAAACGCGGGAACCCGGTACGCAACTGCGGTGACTCACAGTGGATGGATTTACGGTGAAATTCCAAGTGACGGGCTTATTTCTCGATCAGTGGAGCTTCAATTTTGGATAACCCAACCGGGATTCGGCTAGGCGATGACTCGCGTACCGGATTTCGAGTCGGTTGGGCAAGCTAGTGACCAAAACAACAAATGGTGTGCCGGTCCGTCCTTAACCTGTCGCTTTGTGTTCTTGTAGCGAGTGGCGTAGGCCGCGATTCTGTCGCCCTCGGCTAAGAAGCAGTAGGATGGCCGTAGGATGGTCGGCGAGGACGCGCCGGGGACGTCTCTCCAGGACGACGGCGAGATGTAACCAGTGATGCTGTCGTGCGATTAACGGACTCCAGCCCGCCATTGAACCGGTATGAAAGAGAAAGAGTTTTCTCGCAGAGTTGTGTCGCCTCTTAGCCATCACTGTCTCCAAGTATGTTGAAGTGAGGTATCGGTTGTGACATGAGTGCCCGGGCCGTGGCCGATGCTTCGCGTAAGTAAATCTTGAGATGAAATCTCGGGCGCGCGGTCGTCGCGCGGAGGCGAGGGTCGCGCGCAATGCTCGGCCGCTCGGTCTTCGCTCGTGACGTCGCCGCCCGAATAATTACCGTCACAGTTACGAATCGTTCACTTATTACTGCCCCGTTTCACAAACCCATTTCTCGGTCAGCTTGTTCACTCACCAAGTTTGAATAACGTCAACAGAGACTGTGCCAAGTGGTTTTGAGGTTAGGTTGGTGGAATACAGCAAACACTGCGACTCAGCCTCATACCATGATATTTTCATGGAAGGTCCGAAAAGACAAATGTGCCAGTTGTGCGTAGTTCCCGTGCGCTCGTCTCTATGAACTGGAAAGGATAGATTTATAGTTTTTGGTGCTGACTCAAAAACAGATCTACAACAGTCCAACACAATTTTCTTGTGTGGGCCCATGAATCCATGACGTAAATGATTTCCGCATTCGCTCGTAAACCAGAAGTGGGACAGAAGGGCGCGGCGCCCCGTCAGCGTCGAAAACGCGTTTTGACGGGAAGGCGCGGCGTCGTGGTGGTGTAGGGGCGCGCTGCAGACTGATTCCGAGAGTCGTTTTCGTCGCTCTGTCTCTCTCGCACTCGTGGGCCGTCCTTCATAGATGCGAGAGAGACCGAGCGACGAGAACGACTCTCGGAATCAGTCTGCAGCCCGCAGATCCCTGCTGGATTGTCGGCGCACTGCGAGTGAGTGCGGAGCAGTGCGAAGCGGGCGGAGGGAAAAGCGGGCCGAGCTAGCGCCAGGCTAGCGCCATGGCTCGCGCGGCGTAGCGGCGAGAGTGCCGCGGCTTTTCAATCAGCCGTACAGGGGTGACACCAAACGCCAATAGTGGTGCCAACTCACGCATCACTGTGGTGGGCCCGGGCGGCCCGGGCGGTCTTCAGCTGTCAGCGGTTCTATTACACGCCACCCCGTCTCCCACTCACTGTTCGCAGGGTGCCCCCCCCCTCCCTCTCACACACTGGGGCCGCTATGACGACAAATAAACAATTGATTTGGTTAATAAATTGAAGAACCCATGACCCGGCCTTGACGACTCAGGCGCACGGCTTTCCCGCCCCCTCACACAGACGCACACACACTCACACACACACCGGCACTGCAGCGCTGTTGACGCCCCACGTGGGGAAAAGTACCCCCATGAGGTCGCATTTCTCCGGTGCTGCAGGCGACACTGATGACGTCCGCTATTATTCCGCAAGATGCATGATTCATGATTTCCTTCTCCTTCTAGTCCGCGACTCTGGGGAATATTTACGGGGGAGTGAGTGAGCGCGCGTCTCCCCTGGTCTCCCCACGCGGAGAGCAGACAGAGACGCGCGCGTCGGTGTGCGCGCGTGTGAGAGTGTGGTGGAGAGAGCGGGGTCGTTACAGCCTGGCCATGGCCTGGCCTCCGCTGCTCTTTGCGGCTACAACTGCTGCGGACTCCAATTCTCTTCCGCATTCAGAGGGAAAGCCCGGCCAGCCATCGGTCTGGTTGGAACCCCAACCCAAATAACCCGTCCGCCCGCTGGAGGGAACGCCAGAGGGAGCGCCAGAGGGAGCGCCAGAGGGAACGCCAGAGGGAACGCCAGAGGGAGCGCCCGAGGGAACGCCAGAGGGAACGCCAGAGGGAACGCCAGAGGGAACGCCAGAGGGAACGCCAGAGGGAGCGCCAGAGGGAACGCCAGAGGGAACGCCAGAGGGAACGCCAGAGGGAACGCCAGAGGGAACGCCAGAGGGAACGCCAGAGGGAACGCCAGAGGGAACGCCGAGGGGGCAAAAACTCGGGATTTTCGTGTACACATGATTCGGAAAACGCAATGATTTCATGGCTGATTCGCCTTATTTCGCGACGCACCAGGGTGATGTTGAGCGTGATTGTGTGTGATTGTGTTCGGAAAGAAATGATTTCGGACTGATTTTGCCTGGTTTCGTGTGATTCTGCCTGATTTCGGTCGAATTTAGTGATTTTGGATTGCTTGATTTCGCGTGATTCTCAATGATTCGCATGTGATTTCGGGGGCCGTGTACACATGATTGCGCGAGTTTTTGCCCCCTCGGGGAACGCCAGAGGGAGCGCCAGAGGGAGCGCCAGAGGGAACGCCAGAGGGAACGCCAGAGGGAACGCCAGAGGGAACGCCAGAGGGAACGCCAGAGGGAGCGCCAGAGGGAACGCCAGAGGGAACGCCACTGGCACGCCGTTCGGTGAAAATTCCCCACGAAATTTGGAAACAGTTATTTCTAAAGGCGAGGTACAAAGCTTAGTAGCACTGCGTGCGGAACTACGCGTGGCTGCGGTGGTGGTGCCGGTAGTTGTGGTGCGCGCTAGGGGCCGTGGTGGAGAGGCCCAGGCTGCCGGGGGGTAGTAGTCCTCCATCACTGCATGCCTGCCGCCACGCGTCTCTGCTCCCAATCGTCGGGGGACTTTTTATACGATTCTCCGCCCGCCTTTCATCACGCTTCGGCTTCTCTCTGCAAGGACGAAGTGGTTTATTTTCACCAGAGGCAGGCCCTGCATTAAAAGCCCTTGCAAGCCTGGTTACCGCCGCCCAAGCTGGAGAGTTACATACTCGACGAGGCCGCAGCAACGCACCGCGCGATGCCGAAGCGCAATGCGTTTGGAATCGTCGGCTCTCTGAGTGCACGCGTCGCTCCGTCTGCCCGACCAGACCAGTCCGCCCAGCCCTCGGCTTTGGACCGCCAAAGCCTCTCAAGTTTGGCCGCTTCATTCCAGCCGCCTCTTCTAATGCCGCTGCCTTTTTCTTTGCAGGCGCCTTCCCCACCGCCGCGGTCACCGTTCGGATTGCAACTATGGACGGGGCCGGGGCCTCGCCGTGGCCGAGATGAGGGCTGCCCGTCCGCCCCCCGGGCCCCCGCCCCCGGGCCCGCCGCCGCCGCCGCCCCCGGACCGCCGTGGCACCCGCCTGGGGGCCGCGCCGCCCCGCATGGTCGGGGCGCTTGTGGCCGTGGCGCTGGTCGGGTGCCTGCTGGGGGCCCTGCTGCCCGCCGCCGCGGAGGACGGCAAGGGAAAGGACCGCCACGACGTCAAAGGTAAGTTTGCCGCCAAACGTGTCCGAGTGTCGGAAGGCGGGAAATCGCACTCCGTAGCAAAGAGTTGCTAAAGAAAGCAGCAAAGAACACAGCCCCGTCGAGTGAGTACCGTTTCCCGGCTCGACGTTCGCGTATTCCGCGTCCTCACCAAAGGCTTCTTTGGGGCGTTTCTTGGCCATGCCGGTGCGTGTCTTCGTGCTGGCCGTCGCGAGGCTGTCGCTGTGTCTGCTGATTCCATTCAGTCCCGAATGTCGCGCCGCCCTCGCTCGGCCTGCAGGCTGAGTCGCTCTGTCTCTCTCGCACCTGCAGGGGAAGCCCCACGAGTGTGACACAGACAGAGCGACGAGAGGACTACTGACGCCGGCCACTCGCAGTGACGAGCTTGTCCGTCCGATGGCCAACCTATCCTTGCGTGTCTTAGCCGGCAGGCTCGGCTCGGCCCCGCGCGGCCCTTGGGACTGTCCGTCGGACCGTCCGCAGTCCGGGCCGAGCCAAGTGCTGGCCGCCTGCCAGGGGCGCGAGGGCCTTGTCCAGGACCCTCCCAGGCCAGCCTCTCCCCCTCGGCTGCCCCCCTCCCATCCCCGCACGCTCAGGCCTTTAGCCCGCTTCCAGCTAATCACGCATATTCATCGCCTGGATGGTGTAATTTGCTTATTCCTCCCTCTTCGCTTTCGAGAGGGATTTGGCAGACGGGCCAGGAGGGTGGGGGAGGCCCGGCCCGGCCCGGCCCGGCCGTCGGGGACGTCAGAAAGTAGGCTACAAGGGCACTGAGGCGACCGATAGTGCGATAGCGAACCAAGCCACAGCCGAACGGCCGAACGCCCGCAGACGGCGGGGCAGGCAACGCGCGGACAGCGGTGTGGGGCGGGCGGGCCTGCTCGCCAGGCGGTCGCGGAGGGCGGCTGGCTCGTCTTAAGAGGCCAGATCACAATTGATCGTGTGCCGTTTTGGGCTGGCCAGTAGGGGAATGACTTGAGAGGCTGGACCACAGCTGATCATACGTCATTTGAGCCCCGCTATGCCTCGATTCGAATCAAGGACTCGGATGTCGCCGGACCCATCCACCACACATCCAAGCCGGCCTTGCTTCAAGTACGCCACGTTTTCGGCGCTCTGCTTGTTATTCGTTGTCGAGATGACTGACCGACCCCAATGCTGCATGCCGGGCAGCCAGCGCGTTTGCTCTTCAGTCTGGCTAAACTACGCCACTGCTAATTAACCCCTTCCCCCTCCCCTTCCCCCCTCCCCCCGGCCACTTCTTTCGCGAGCATGTCATGTGTGCTGCGGGTGCGCCGGGTGGCGTTGATTAACACATCATCGCCGCGGTCGCCTCGTAAAGCACCTGCACGCCGATACGCGCCCCGCCCCGCCCCGCCCCGCCCCGCCCCGCCCCGCCCCGGCCCGCCCGCACACAGCGGGGCACGCGGTTATTAAACGAGAATCATGCCCGCGCGCGCCGCGGCACGCAGTGTCGTTGTGTTATCCTAATGCGCCGAGCGGACCGTGGACTAATGCACGAGCACACGGAGTGGCGGGCGGGGCGAGCGTTCGGCACGCCACTTTGGTACAGGCCGTGATAGCCAGGGCTCGGTATATCGAATCGGAGTAACGGTTACTTCAGATTTTCGGTTAACTTTTACGAGAAGCAAATAAGTGTGAATTTAAAAGAAATGCCAAGTGCGAATAGTGTGGTCGGTATGGCTGGAACAGCAGCGCCGATTACTCTGACGTGGGCAGTTCAGCTGTTATCTTCGCGTACGGGGTTAAGGGACAGTCGAGACACAGGATTTACAATACACTTGTTTAATGCTTACCAGATCCTAGCATGACGTTTCCACTTGCAGGCTGGGCAGGCGACTGTGTCGATGTCCAGGTGCCCCGGGTATATATACCCCAAGCCCACGCAGGGGGGGGAACTGGACTGGCGAAAGTGCGTAAGTGCATCGCAGTGCAACTCTTGCCGGGCCGCACTTTCGCCTGCACCGAGAGGTCGCAGGCCCGCTTACAATGTGGAACCGTCCAACGGTTACACTTCCCTCCGGTTCCCAAAAAAAATACGGAACGGAGGTATACAATACAAAAATATGATATACAACATACGAGGATATATAGAGTTACATTGGGTTATAATGAGATTACAAAAACAGCATTACATACCAACATTATGATACATTTATTTTTCTGGTGGTTTTTCCGTTTCCGGTCGCAGGCCCGCTTACAATGTGGAACCGTCCAACGGTTACACTACACAGCGCGCGCGTCAGCGTCGCGCCAATACTTTACACTTGGCTTTACATGTATTGCGCCCGACTGCGCCTGCCTTGGTGAGTTTGTATTGAGAAGGGCCCCCTGCTTACCCCTCCCTCTCACACACCCGCACACCTCCCACCTCCCCTCTGACACGCGCGCACACACACACACACTTAAACACATATACACACCTACTATCTCTGTCACACACACACACACACACACACACACACACACACACACACACACACACACACACTTAAACACATATACACACCTCTCTGTCACACACACACACACACACACACACACACACACACACACACTCGCGCATTCCCCCGTCTCGTTTAGGGCTTCCCGCTCGGCTTCCCGCTCCACCCGGCGGCTGGCGCGGCTGGCGCGCACCTATAGTCCCCCCGGGCGTGTTGAGTGCTGATGGAAAGCCCCTGTACGGCTGCACCTGCGCGATGCTGCGATGCTGCCACGGCGCCGTGCGGCCTGGCGGTGCCTGGCGGTGCCTGGCCGTGCCTGGCGGAGCCTCACACTGCACCGACCGACCCGCTGACTCGGTTTGCCTCTCTGACTGCTCTCGAATTGCCAGAGCCATGCGTCGCCACTGCCGCGCCACTGTACCGAGTCGGGCCGAGCTATAAAGTCTGCATTGGCTGGGCCGTGCTGCGCCGCGCTGCGCCGGGCCGTGTTTTGCGGTACTGTTCGACAGTAATCATAGCTCTGTTGGGGCTCCCGCCGCCCCCGCCGCCCCCGCCTCTAATTGCATAGCGATTGTACGCCCCGACTTCCTCCATCTATATAGTTGACCCGGTTCGTCGAGACTCCGCGATTCCCTCCGCGCCGCTGCGCCGCTGCGCCGCTACTCTGTCGCCCTCCCTCGACCAGCAGCACCCGTTCGCCTGCTCCTCCTCCTCTCCTCCTCCTTGCTGCCTTTCCCCACCCCGACACGCGAAGAATGCGGTGATGGTGTCATTCCAGCCAAACGGGGCGCGCGTCCTGGCAGCTCATATGTTAGGGCCCTCAATCCCCCTCCCCTCCCCCTCCCCTCCCCCTCCCCTCCCCGTCTCCCAGCCCGGCTACCCTGCGAAGGAAAGAACATTAAGGAGGCCTCGAGCGGGGCCGCGCGGCGGGGCTCCGCGGGGTCGGCGGACGACCTTCGGGATGCTTATCGCTGGGTGCGCGCCGTTTTGTCTCTCCCCGCCCCCGCTGCCCCCGCTGCCCCCGGCCCGGCCCCGCGCCCTCGAAATTAATAATATCGCCCCACAAGGCGCCCCCTTCCACGCTATGCCGCCCCCGCCGCCCCCCGCCGCCCCCACACGGCGAGGAGGGCCCCGCCGTCTCTATTGCCATCATTGGATGTTTAAGCGTCGTTGCGTCCGGATGGAGACATTTAATGTTTGAACAAGCGGCTTGGCTGCCCCGGCTCCCTGTTGACTGCCGCTCGTTGCCTGCCCCCGCCTTCCCCCGCCTGCCCCCGCCTGCCCCCGGCTGCCCCCGCCTGCCCCCGCCTGCCTCCAACTGCCTATTACGCCGTCGCCGGGCTGCCCCGGTTCGGCCGCCCCCGCCCTGCCGGTACCGCTTGTCCTTCAGGGCCTTGAGGCCCTTCGCGGCGCCGCTCCATTCGCACCGCGCTGTCTCTATATCCATATTTCCCCGCGATACTGCACGCGGCTCTGTTGCGAGCGCGGACGTGACAAATCTTATGGCGTTGGGCTGCCCGCTCCTCCTTCGTCCGGGGCACCCCGCCCCGCCCCGCCTCGCCACGGCCCCACCCGGACGGCCCCACCCGGACGGCCGGACGGGCTCTAAACTTTGCAGCATCTGCGTTCCGGGCGCCGCCCCGCCCCGCCCGGCCCGGCCGCCGGATGTGTGGAAGAGGAAAGGCCCGCGTCCGAGGCGCGAAATATGGCCGTCGTTTTATGCCACCCTCATCCATATCTGCTTCGTTCATGGGCTGCGAGACAATCAATTTCGCGTGGAGAGGGAGCGGCAAGCGGCTGGGCTGGGCCTGGCCGGGCGGCAGGCTGCTGCAAGGGCTGCCCCGTGGCAGATGGGGCAGCGGGGCCGGCGAGCACGCCGCCCAACACTCACAGAGGGCCGCTGGTTTTAACTTTGTTTCCTTTTACTGGGCGGCCCTTCTTATGCGGAACGGGCAGGGCCGGGTGTTTTTTTACGCCACCGCCGCCGCCCCTGCTCGGCGCGCCTTTGGTTTCACGTCACTGGAACGCAATAGTCACGCATCGGGTCGAGGCGGGGCGGGGCGGGGCGGGGCGTGGCGAGAGAAACTTTGCGGACCGCGGTCCAAGGAGCAACATTGCAGGCCAGACATGCCCGGGCCGCACGCCGCCAGGCCATGGCCAGGACGCCGTCACGCTTGAAAAGTTGGTCCGAGCTGCCTGGCCTAGCCGAGTCGTATCGTGGTTGGAATTCGTGCAGACTGTTTTATGGAAATGGAAGGCGGCGCGGTACATTCGCGCTGTCACCGCTCGGCGTCAACGCGGCGGACGTCGCCCGGAATTGCAACAAGATAACGCGTCGCAGCGGCGAGCTCGGCCTTCCCCCTC